TTACCCGTGGAAAAAATACTGTGCGGAAAAAATCTTATACAGCGATGTTGAAGCTGGGAAGCCGTTGATTTCGCGAAAATAAAAAGGAATCGTGATATAGCCAGTAAATTTACGCGAGGCAGCCAGGTTATTATACGGCAGATGTTTTATTTTTATCTTATTTTTTATATAAACTCCTATATTCACAGATGTTGCAATATTTAGATGGTTTCAGACTAATTTATTATAATAATAAACGCAATTTGAAATTACGACGCACGTAGGTAGCATGAAATAATTAAGAATTTTTTTGTTTTTCACTGCATAACGCGTAGTGCTGTTTTTTATTTTGACTTTTTTTGTATAGATAACATGCGCGTTATCGATGAAAAACCGGTAATTCATTAAGTTAATACTCATAAATATAAAATAGAAAAATACCATACGAATATCCGCATACAAAACGATAGACATGTTTATGAAAGCAATACAACAAAAGAACTTTTGACTAGAACGGATCACTGGACGTTGAAACGACGTTGAATATGAAAACATGAAAAAAGTGAAAAAAGCAGAAGGAAAAGCTTAAGGGACTAAGATAAAAGAGAAAAAAGGTGATGAAGATAATCGACATAAATTTAAAACCGACGTTCGAAAAGTAACTAAGATTTTTATCATTAATGTAGCGCCGTGGTTGAACACCCGAACTGATCAATTTTGTACCCCATCGTAAAGTTACCTTTAATAATGCAATCTGGGTCACTGACCAAGGCTCCCTCCAGCAAATCAGAATCCGAACAGTCTCGCGACGATAAATCACTGGGTATCGGCTAAGTCAAAAAATAATGTCGCTGCATTACATATCACCAAAGTGGTGGCTTACCCATTGCCTAATGGTGGAATCCGTCGTAGAGCACCATAAAGAATTCGTATTTTCCGTATAAAGCAGCTAAAATCAGTCAAATCAGCGAAACATTAACTTCAGGTAAACAAGAGTCTTGAAAATAACCTTATAAACAATGTGCCTTAAGACGAAACTGATTCAGTAGACGACTTCAACAGAACCATAGTCAGAAATGAGAAATTATTCAGCAATATCAAAAGAGCATTATCCGATACACATGTCAACATCCAGATAAATAATTAGTTCATGCTGGAATAGACTGAAATTAATTCGCAGTTCAGCTCATAGTGGTACTGGCTAAGATAGCTTCACTTTGCGGTTTTAACTGCATTACAGTCTATATCTCAGCGCAAACCTAAGCCATGAACTAAAGCCAAACCTGCGGTAAACAATCGAGGATTTTGCGATAATACGGAGAAAGTGTGATGAATTTTCAGCATGGACTGAATCGTGAATCAGTCTTAATCAGCCTATACACAAGCTGACACGGCTATGTATTGAACAATAAATCAATTTCAGTCCATAACGGTATGAACACTATTAAAAAGCATGAAAACATTTACAGACCTTAGTTTAGAACCAGTGTCCACATTACTTGAAAATCTCCTTTAGAAAAAAATTACTTTGAAAGAGACCACGCGTACTTACAATAAACTAATTTATAATCTTGTGACATACAAGTTGTGCTAAGGCTAAATTACAGCGCATAAAACTTAACGCTAAGTATTTAAAAACGAAAATTGTGAAATAACGCTGACCCGCTATCTGGCAAGCACGAGAGTGTCCCCACAACGGACGGTTTGGTAGAGAAACATAAAACGAATTTACAAGCAAAAGTCAGCAAACTATAGATGTTATCCATTAATGGTAGCAAAATGAACGAGTATGAAAACAATCGAGTTTTGAGTTGCTCCATCAGGGCATGGTACGTTTATGAGCAGACTGTTCGATGCATAGCGTTTCGAATCTGGCTTTAGCGCTGAGCCAAGCTTTAGATCCGCTTAGAGGCAAACGTTAAAGATAAGTAGAGCTGCGCTTGGCCCTGAGCGAAGCCGAGCGTTAGCACCAAGTGGAGGTGAGCATTAGAGCCTATTCTGGCCTAACATTAGTACTGAGCAAAGCCAAGAGTTAGCCGCTAAATCAATGGGATACTAACCTGATGGCAAGTTAATTAAGCGCAAGAGTAAGCTATGGCATGAGACTGCTAGAGACGATGGTAAGAGACGCAAGAAAGATGATTTAAGCAATGTAAGAAGGGGACTGATGCAACTATCGCTCACCGTTCGGATGCAACATAAATTGAGGCAACTTTACTGACTGACTCCTTTCATAATAAACAGTGTTTTGCGAAGCATACAAATACATGATATAGTCGATATGACGATTGAATGCGTTGCATTCTGTGACATTTGCAAATAATCTCAATAATAATTTCAACCTAACTCCGCCATGGCCGGTCCCAAGCCCGGATGAGAAAGGAGGAGGGTTGGAGACCGTGGCAAGTC